GGGGCGACTCCTCCCCCACCACCAATCAATCAAACCCCTTTTTTTTTTTTTTGTTTAAATCGATTTTAGTTTTTGATTTTTTTAAAATCTTAAACAAAGTCGGATTCCAAAAAAAAAATATAGGGTGTAGGGTTTTTTTAGCCCTACACGCCCATATATATATTTTTTTTTCATGCATTAGAAAAAAAAATAAAAATCTTGCACCGAAGTCGGCTGGTCGGCCTAGGCTGAACCCGGCCGATTCGGCCATCGGCCTAGGCCGCGGCCGACTTGGAACCCCCGGCCGCGGCCGGGCGTGCAACATAGCTCAGCGCGACTTTCGGAGGTCGAAAACGCGACAAAGGCCATTGATGAAATTTATCAACGGCGGCCCAGGCCCGAAAGTTGCGGTGGTGGGGACGAGTTCATTTTCTGCAAGGCTGGGGCCATGTATTGGCGGTTTTACGAAAAGATGCACTTCCATTCTCAGTTTTGGCAAGTACTGGAGCGAGGCGCTGAGTCAGTTTGCTTGCATTGTTTTGAATCAGGGCATACTCACATGAGGACTTCTTCTACTAAGCTCTGGATGTGTTTGGAGTCAGATTTGTCCACGTTTGGCCGTAATTGTAGTAGTCGGATATGCTTAGGAACCTGCTACCTTCTTCACCCGAATACACCGTACGGTCATTATAGTCGTATTTGGGGTATATTTCTTTTAGTCTAAATACAGCAATAATGACCGTAAATTGTAGGTAGGGTGGGTATGCCCTCCTTTTGCAGAACCGTTGTTCGAATAAGTTTTCTGTCTATCAGCTTCCTTGCTCAAAGCTGCTTCTGGTCGTGCCTTCTGCTTGTCTCTCTGTGGTGGTTCTCACCCCAATCTCGTCTCGATTTGTGTTCTCTCATGATCTTTCATCCTGTCTCTCGTGCTCTCTCATGGTCCCTCGTACTCTCTCATGCTCTCTGATGCCTTCTTGTGCTCCCTCATGAATTCAAGATGACAAAGAGAGAGGTAACGAAACGGAAGAAGAGAGAGAAGGCGAGGAGGACAAGGAGGCGGCAGAGGGGACGAAGTATGGCGACAAGGGGGTTATCGAGGGGGTTTTGAGTATATAACTAGGTCTGGGCGGAAGAGGAAAAACGGCTAGGGTGGGAAGAAGTGGAAGGCGGAAGAGGAAAAACGGCTAGAAGAAGAGATGTTGGTGTAGAAATGGAAGAATGAAGAGCAATGAAGGAGGAGGAAAGAGGTTTAGTTCAGTGCATTGTGTCTTTTCATGTGAGGCATGACTATGTCTATCGATTAAAATCCGTCCGGTCAGGTGTAATGCTGCTGGAGACCATGCAATTTGTGCTATCGATCCACTTGAATTCCAAAAGTTGTCGTTGGAAAATGTGGCTCCATGTGGGATCCAGCGGTCTGCTCAGACCCTGGCTATCAGGCCTGATACTGGGTCCGGGCGGACTGCTGCTCACCTCAGAAGAAAGAAGCCACTGGCGTCTGTGACCTGGCACCTCATGATATTTTCGCTCCACCCAAAGAGAGAAGCGGAAAAAAAGAGAAACCCGGTGGCGAGTGTGCAGCCCTCTTGCATGCTTTTGTTTCTAGGCAGGCACGCAGTCGGCAGAGACCCCGCTCACCCTGAACTTGCTCACAATTAGTGGGTATGGGAGAACCGCCAGTAGTCTGCCCATACCTTCCCAGAGGTGTCGGCGAACTGCCGGGCTGCCTGACTCCTAAGCTCGAACCTGCTGCACGGAACATGGTCGGCCTGCCTCTGGCTGTACCAAACACTCCATAAGTGCCTTGCCTCCCCCTCTTTGTCCTCTGCCTCCTCATCCTCTGCCTCTGTGCCCCTCTCCTCCCTATCTTCTTCTTCTCCTCCTCCTCCTCCTCCTGCTCCTCTTCCCCATCTCCTTTTGTGATCATCCCACCCCCATCTTCTGATTGCAGCTTCCCCATCCCACTTTGATCCATGCCGACGTCTCCTTGCCTGTGCTCTTCTCATCCTGACCTTCCCACATTCTTTGTTGTCATCTTCAGCTGACGAGCTCCACCCTCCCTGAACTTCGCCTGCGCCCATCGTTAAATCGCCAGCTGCCAATGGCTCATTGTCCTCCATCATGATGTCCTCGTCTCCCTCCATTGTGGTGTCCACCCCTCTCTGATCTTCTCTTGGTGTCGATCTTCAGATAGCTCCCTCCACCCTGCCCTTCCCCCTGTGCCTATCTTTGAATTGTGAGCTGCCCCTGCCTCATCTCCCCCCGCACGGTGATTCTTCATCTCCATCAATCGTGGACTCTCCCCCGCCTGCCCTTCTCCTGGCCCCCACGTTCAGGCCGCAAGCCCCCCTTGCCCTGATCTTCCCCCTGCACCCATCTTCAAATTGTGAGCTGCCCCTGCCGCATCTCTCCCTCCATCATGATGTCCTCATCTTCTCCATCGCGACCTCCCCCCACCCTTGCCTCCCCCCTACCCCCTCATTGTGAGCCTTCTCTACTCCATCTCCCTCCATGGCGACGTACCCTGCCCTTCTTTTCGGGTTCGCGGAAAGTGGTCTGGCGGCTGTGTGCTCATCTGAGGTGGCGTACCATGGGTTGAACACACACAAGTAACTTATGCCAAAATTTACTGGTGGTTTGATCAAAAAAAAAAAAAAAAAAAAAAAAAAAAAAAAAAAACTGGCAACGTACATGATGTGTTTGTCCTCCAATATTGCGGGATCTTCCTCCTCCTCCTTTTGCGATCTTCCTCTGGCTCCTGTATTCTCACTCCAACCTCCCACACACAATCTTCCTCCATACTGACATCACCACGCCCCTGCTTTTCTCACCCGGAGCTTTCCTTCCCTCACCACCTCCCTCCTTTCCACCTCCCTTCATTCCAACCCCCCTGCCTGTGCTTTTCCCATCTTAACCTTTTCCCTGCCCCCATCTTCAGATCTCAAGCTCCACATGGCGCTCATCTCTCTCCATTGCGACCCACGCCCGCCTAGTTTTGGTTCGCCTGTTTCGTACCATTCTTTTGCCGCTTACTTAAAACGTCAAAGGATACAGTTGGTTGAGCACAATGGGAGAAGGTGTTGGGGGCTGTCTCTTATACACATCTAGATGTGTATAAGAGA